AGTGTTTTTTTTTTTTATAGGTTGGTCTCATTTTTACAAATTATCTTGATTTTAATTTATCTGAAAGTGACCTAATTTCACCATCATATTTGATGGATAGTTTTGCTAGATATAAGATTCATGGTTGGCATTTTATTTCATTCAGAGGTTTATATATGTCATTCCATTGTCTTGCTTGCATGGTTTCTTTTTGAGAAATTAGAGCTTAGTCATATTAATTCTCCTTTGTAGAAAACTTCATTTTTCCTGAGCTGCTTTCAGGATTCTTTCCTTGTCTTTGGATTTCAAAAGTTTTATATAATTGTTTTGGTGTTTTTCTTTTGGGGGCATCTGTCCTATTTGGGGAGTCCTGGTGTGGCACTGTGGGTTAATGCGCCAGACTGCAAAGTCGTTTGAACTGCAATGTTGGTGGTTCAAGCTCACCAGCCTGCTTCTCGGAAACCCTATACAGGGTCACTATGGGTTGGAACTCACTCTCAGTGACATTTCACAACAACAGCTTCCTGTTTTGAGTTTGTTCCACTTCTTGAATGGCGATCTTCTCATCTGTCATGGTGTTAAGGATATTTTCTTCCAACAACTCCTGGACAGTTTTGTGGGTGTTTTTTTGTCTCCTATTCTGAAATTTCTGTCTTACATAAGCTATTTCTCTTGATAGTGGGCTTTCTTTGGATTATTTTGGTATTTTTTTCTGATTGTTCTTTAGCTCAGGGTTGGGGAACATTTGTCGTGTGGCCTGTATAAGGCCTGTGAAATTATTTGTTCTGTTTCTGCCAAGGCAACTGCAATTCCAGGTCTGCCAAGGCAACTGCAATTCCAGGCATTGCACTGTTGGTGGTAGTGTTGTTGCTGTCAAGTTGGTTCTGACTTACAGTGACCCTGTATAGGGTTTCTGAGGATGAGTTGGTGAGTTTGAACCACTGACCTTGCAGTTCAAACAAACCTTGCAGTTTAGTGCTTATACTATAGCACCACACCAGGACTCCCTTATTTTGGGGATGAGCCATTGCATTAAGGGTGAGTTGTTAAGTGTTGGACCAAATATATTAGGCTAATTATTAAGTTGATAATTTTGTATGGCCAATGAATAATGTTATAAATTTTGGTAGACAAAGGGTTCGCCACTGCTGCTGTAGCTGATGGCTTGAAAGATTTCCCTTCCAGCTCAGTAACTCAGCTCTCCATTGATTGATTCAGTTCTATTTCTCTGCCTTTCAGTGTGTTTGTTATCTATTTCTGAAGTCTTAATGTTAATCTTCTGGCATTCTAATTGCTGTATTTGTATGGGTCCCATTTAAAAAATTACTTTGTCGGTTTGTATTCTGAAATTTTCCATAGTTTTGTCGGTTTTTTTTTATTTCATCTGCAATTTTCTTGATCTTTCTCAGAATCTGTTGAATTTGCCTAACTAGCATTCTTTTTAAATTCCTTATCAGGTAGTTCAGATGCTACTTCTAGTAATATATATGTTCTGACATTGTATTTTGATCATGTGTTTGAGGCACTCTATCACACTTCTTTGTGTAAGTTGAAATTTAGTTGATGACTATATATTAGTGTATTCTAGACACTTACCACCTCTTTCCTGGTGGATGTGGTAGACACCTGAAGTGTGAAAACAGTTCTCTGTTCACTGTTTGTGTAGGTTTACATGTTTCCAGAAGCCAGGGGTACTACTCAACCCCTGGCAGAGTGGACACTATGTAGCTTGGGGCAGGGGGTACTGGATTGACAAAGGGGGGGCAGGAGGAGACTGGCCATGTTACCGGGATACCAGGAGAGCACAGGAGCAAGGGAAAATTGTACCCCTTTGGTGCCAAGTTCCAGCTGCATCCTCTGCCTGCAGACTGTTGAATTAGTAGTCACTTGCACAAGATCACAGTGGCTGGGCTATGTTTCGCCAGCCCACAATCTGCCTGTTTTCCCTCTCTCTCATTGCTTCTGTTCAGCTTCCTCTTCCAGTTAGCACTCAGTCCACCACTCTGTCTTCTCCCTTGATGCTCAGGGTTCCAGGATCACCATCTGTATCTATTTCACTCAGTCCCTCCTGTCTCTGCTGCAGAGGGTTGGTTCAGTGACTCTGCTTACCTCTGTCATCTCACCCCAGACTTCCTATCACTTTTAGGGCAGTCTAACCATGAAACTGGAGTCCTGGTGTGGCACTCTGAAAGGGACTACATTAGAAGGTCATGGATAGAGTGGGATAAAATGTGGAACAAAACTCAAAATTACGGGGGGAAAAAAAAAGACTGGGTTACTGGTCAGAAAAAATGACTGGAGGAACCCAAGACTATGACCCTTGGTCACCCTTTAGGTCTGGAACGGAACTCACCTTCGTGGCCCAATTTTTCAGCAAAGTAGTAGATGGGTGTAGACTCCTGGTGTGGTGCTAAGCATTGGACTACAACCACAAGGGTCACCAGCTACTCCTGGGAAAGCATTTACAGGAGTAGAGGGGCGTTTATAGGTAAGGTATACTCATCATGGAATAGTCAAATTATTCAAGATCAAAAGGACAATATTTCCTTAATGACAGAGTTGAGGAGGGATAAAAAGGAGGGTGGAATGGAAATAAGAACCACAGGGAGGAAGTGGGATCATTGTTGTTACATGAAGGGGATTGCAATCATTGAGAGGAAACAAAGTATGTGATTTGTTGCATGTAAAACTGATGATCTGCTCTGTAACTGTCTGTGACTCAGTTAACAACAAAACATAGCCATTTATCTAAATATGCTTTTTTAATTAAACTTTTCCCCCCAGAAATCAGCATTCAAGACATTAAGAAGATTATGGATACTATGTTATCTATCTGTCTTCCTTATTTTTGTGACTTGAGTGAAAGTTTACAGGGCAGATCATCAGTTTTGCATTCAACATACATCTGTCTTTAAAGTTGTGCTTTAAAAATTTTTTCTGGTTTCATTTTATCATGTTTATTAGGAAATATAATTTTTATTATTTTTACTTTTTATCCAGTTGTTAATTGCATACTGTATTGTTTGGATCTACTTTAATCATTGCAATATGATTTCTCGGGGGGCACTTGTCAGCTTGAATCACTTAGAACACTATTAGAGACTTTCTGGCCTGGATTGCAAGATCATGGTTTTGGCTCAGTATGACATTTACTATTTTATTTTAGAACATTTAATTAGTGTTGAGTAGGTGAGGCATTGGCTACCATTTTTCTGTGTTTTTTTTTTTTTTGTTTTTTTTTTTTAAGAAGTTATATGGGATGGTTGAAAAACAAAAGTAGAAAAGTAGTTGAAGCTATAGGTCAAAGGTTTAAACAGAAAAAAAATCTTACTCATGCTTTGAGATTAAAATTTAATCCCGTTATATGTAAAAGGTTTAGATTATTTTAGACCGGGTTTTAGTGTTCCTCTCCTTTATTTTTCTCCCTTCATAGAGCTAAATGTTGTTGAATACTGTCGAGTCTGTTCCAATGAGTGACTGGTATGTTTGAACCGCCGAACTTGTGGCTAGCAGTCCAGTGCTTATCTTACAGTGCCATACCAGGACTGGTTTTCTAATGAGGTTACTAGATTAAAATTAGCCTATAGTGATTGGGTAACTATAAACTTTGAAGTTCTCTAGCTTGATTTGTTTGGACGTGTAGCTTGAGAGCTGAAAACTAGTATGGTAAGTAGTCACATAACCTAAATCTGCAACCTGCTTGGATTGGGTGGTCATATGCCTGGGATAGTCTATATTACACTTGTAATTTATGTGTAATTACTGATGCTCACTTTTTTATACTCAAAACTATTCTGGTTAGGATGATGGATTTTTATAATCCCCTTGTATTTTGATAAAGTGACTTTGATTTACTTCAAATATCAGCCTTTAGACTCAGCAGTGTAGTTAACTGTATAAAGAACAATCGTCTGATTTTCCTCCTCTGAAAGATTCTCTTATGTGTTATTGCTATCAATACTTTTACTTTTATTGATATAATTGGCAATTTTGCTTCCATGACTTTCTTTTTCATAAATATATTTGGTACCACTAAAAGATGTTAAGTTAAAATTGTAATATTGAATAAATGGCTTGGGCACTGGTTGATAAACAGAAATTGTGGTGGCCTTTTGAAGCCTGGCAGAAATTTGATTTTTTGAAAAGTTGCTGCTATTTGTAGGGATGAAGAAGTAAAGTGAAAGAAGAGTAGGAAGAGAGATTGGGGAGGTAGAAAACAACAGTTTATCTTAAAAAATATTTTTGTTTAAATTTGTAAGTTTTCTTGTATATGATTTGGCAGTACTTTTTTGTTGGCTTGTCTTATTGCTAATAAAGTTTACATTAGAAATTAAGAATTTAACATAAAAACTAGGGGCTTCATAAAGTTTGGGGGAAAACTCTATTATCTTTTAATTCCATTTTTCTGTGTACTTTTTGAAACTCCCCTCATTAAATTTTAAAAAATTATACTGTTTAAAATTGTGTATATTTTAACATGTTCTAACACTCATTAGGAGTTCTGTTGTGGCGCTGTGGGCTAATGCATCAGAATGCAAAATTGTTTGAACGGCAAGGTCAGTGGTTCAAGCTTATCAGCTGCTCCTTAGAAACCTCATACAGGGTTGCTATGGGTCAGAATCAACTTGATGGCACTTAACAACAACAACACAACATTCATTAAGGAGCTCTGGTAGCGTAGTGGGTCCAAATCGGGCTGCTAATCTCATAGTCAGTATTTCTAAACTACCAGCAGTTCTGCAGGAGAAAGATGAAGCTTTCTGCTACCATAAAGATTCACAGCCTCAAATCCTTTGCATGGCCGCTATGAGTCAGAACCGACTCCATGGCACATCACCACTACCACCCAACAGTCATTACTTTATATGAATTATATTTAAAATACAAAATGAGAATAATGCTTACATGGTATGCTGTTTTTTAAAATAATTACTATTAATGTCTGTGGAATCTCAGACCTCATAGTGAAATGAACAGAACCTTTTGAGACCCATAGTCATGTTGTCATTTTTCTTTTGCAGGTCACGTCATGTTTGCAGAAATAAAAATGGAGAATGGGAAGTCAAAAGGCTGTGGCACGGTCAGATTTGACTCGCCTGAATCAGCTGAGAAAGCCTGCAGAGTAATGAATGGCATAAAAATCAGTGGCCGAGAAATCGATGTTCGCCTAGATCGTAATGCATAATTTCAGACCATGGTTAGAACATTCCTACATCTGTTTTGCTGAATCTTCTAGTTGAAATCATTTTTAGTAATATTGTATGCTTACAAAAGCTGTAAAAACGAACTTTTAAAATTCCCACCAGCTTTTTACAGTATAGTGTTAAAATATACTGATTTTTTTGTTGATCTCAAGTTTGGGTTTTAAGGACAGAGAGTCTGGTCATTCAGTTTAAATGAATGGTTATACTGTTTTTAATATAATAAGCCATTTCCTTGTTGTTATTTTCAGTACTGCTTAGTGGGATTAATTTGTTCAGGTTTCCTCAGCTTTTATCAACTTCTAAGGTAAAGCATAGATGTGTTTTTAAAAAACTTCTGCTTTGTATATATGCAGTCCTTGAAAAGAAAGGAGTCAGGCAAATTAGGATGTGATTTTGGTTAGTTTTAAGTTGTATTCCTTTGGTAATGAAAAAAATTAAGCTTTAGATCCTGAAGTTCAGGACATTTTTTTATTGAACTTAAATGAAAAAAAAAAGGATTTTTCCTTTCTCTTCCCTCTCCCCATTATTCACATTTTCCGCATACCATTATTAACATCAACTTCCACAGCCCCTTATTTTATTATTTCCAATAATTCCAAGTTCATAGAGAACTGATAATGTAGCAAGCCCCAAGTATAATAACAGGCAGACTATTCCTAACTTTTTGTCTAGTTTCCAACCATTGAAGTGAACTGCTAAAAAAAGAAAAACAATTGCGATGGTGAGAGAGCTGGCTATGTAAGTGAGTCCTTTGCTGTTCACTTCTACAGGAGCTGATGCATTTACAAATGTAGTTTTAATAAACCACGGGACACCTAGGCATAACATATCAAACACATTGGATCCCACAATGTTAGACATTGCCATATCCCCTTTACCTGCAAAAGAGAAGCATGTTGTTAAAATAAACATACTAATGCTGTATTTTATTAATAAGCTCCCTAAGAAGAAACACTGGATACATTTTTTGTATGTTGGTTTTGGAAAATTGTGTTAGTGCAAAACTCTTACTGAATTTGTACTTTCAAGTTTTTCTTTGGTTAGTATTTAAAGTCTTAACATTTATTTATCTAATTATTTTTATTTATTAAATGTTTTTTCAATAAGGTATGCAAATTACGTGTTACTTTTCATTTTTAATTTAACATGCTTCATTTAGATTTATTGCACGTTTCAGGTGAATATTTGGGAGTCAGATTTAGTGAAATTAATCTTTGGTTAAATTATAAGCTCTTGTTAATTGAGGGTTTTTTCCTTCAAAGTATATTATTGAGGAAATAAAGTTACTTTTACTTTTATGCATTGCATTTCAACCAGGGTTTGCAAATTTATATTGTATCCTGAGAGGGGGGCACGTATTTCTTACCTTTTCTTGCAACTAACACACTTGCAATCGTATCTGGTATGCTTGTTCCTGCTGCTAATAAAGTAAGGCCCATTATTGTGTCTGGAATTTCTAGTGTTTCCCCTGTAATAAACACATATATTCTAAGTTACTGACAGTACATAGTCACTAATGATTCTTTGCAGATATTTCAGATATTTTCTTTCTGAACAAAAAGAAAATATACACATTAAGATTTCAGAACCAATGTGTGCTTACTTAGCTTTTAGCTAGCAAAATTTTTGAAAAAGGTTAGTAAATGTACAACCCAGGTATTGAGATTTTTAATGACAGATGTTTAAAAATATTCAGCTGCTGAAATTTTGTCAGTGAATAATTACCCTGTTTGATATGAGTTGGAATAGACTCAAAGATACATAACAATTGGATGTACACAGAAATTGTGGGTTTCCACTGCTAACTGTATCAGGGCTGTTGTTTCTTATATTTTAATGAGACTGACCATATTCTCTTCCTCTATTTAAAAAAATTGTCAGAGATAAACTATTTATAGCCATCTTTAAGCTAAACATATGTTGTTAGGTGCCATTTGGTCCCTTTCAGCTTATAGCGTCTGTGTACAGCAGAATGAAACACTGCCCAGTCCTCATAGTCGTGGCTATGTGTAAACCCATTGTTATAGCCATTCTTCATCTTTTTGATGGTTTTCCTCATTTCCACTGATCTCTCCCACCAACCAAGCACAGTATCTTTCTATAGGAACTGGCCCTCCTGATGACATGTCCACATTGAGATGAAGTCTTGCCATCCTCGCCTCTTCAAGGAGTAATCTGATTGTACCTCCAGTATAAATATGTTTGTTCTTTTGGCAGTCAATGCTATGTTCAGTAATCTTCACCAACAACATAATTCAAAGGTGTTAATTTTTCTGCAGCTTTCCTTAGACACTGTCCAGCTTTTGCATACATGTGAAATACCTTGGCTTGGGTCAGGCAGCCCCCAAAGTAGTAGTGAGCCTTTGCCTTTGGATACTTTAAAGAGGGCGCTTGTTACAGATTTGCCCAGTGCAATACATTCTTGGATTTCTTGACTTCTGCTTTTATGAGTGTTGATTGTGGATCCAAGTAAAATGAAATTCTTGATACCATCAATATTTTTGTCATTTATCATGTCACTTATTGGTCCAGTTGTGAGGATTTTTGTTTTCCTTATGAGGTGTAATCCACACTGAAGACTAGTTTTTGGTCTCCATCAGTATGTGCTTTTAGTTGTCTTCACTTTGATCAAGCAAGGTTATTATCTGCACATTGCAGTTTGTTACGTTAGTTCCTTCAATCCTTATGCCTCATTCTCATATAATACAGTTTCTCAGATTATTTGCTAAGTATAATAAATATGATAAAAGGATACAACCCTGATCATACCTCTTCTGATTTTAAACAAAGGCAGCATCCTTTTGTCCTGTTCAAATGACTGCCTCTTGGTCCATGTCCAAGTTCTGCATGAGCACAATGAAGTGTTCTAAAATTCTCATTCTTTGCAATGTTACCCATAATTTCTTATGATCCACACAGTGGAATGCCTTTGCAAAATCAGTAAAACACAGGCTAACATCTTTCTGTTATCTTTTTGGTGTTCTCTGATTTTAGCCAAAAAACATCTGATGACAACAAAGATACTCATTATTCCATGTCCTCTTTTGAATCTGGTTTGAATTTCTGGCAGTTATACTACTGCATCTGTTTTTTAATTATTGTCAGTAAAATTTACTTGCATGTAATATCAATGATAATGTTTGGTAATTTTCACATTGTTGGGTCACCTTTCTTTGGATTGGGCGCCAATATGGATTTCTGCAAGTCAGTTGGCCTGGTAACTGTCTTTCACTACCTCTGGTTCTTGTATCATATGCTACCTCCTGAAATGGTTGAATGGTTTGGTATAGTCACTCTGCATTCATTTCCTTTTCTTACCTCAAGGTCAGCAGTTTGAAACTACCAGCTGTTCTTCAGGAGAAAGATGAGGCTTTCTGCTCCTGTAAAGATTTACAGCCTTAGAAACCCTGTACAGGGTCGCTAAGTGTCGGAACTGACTCCACGGCACATAACAACAACATTTTGCCCATAGAGTCCTTCGGTATTGCAGCTCGAGCCCTGAATTCTTTCTTCAGTTATTTCAACATGAGAAATGCCAAGTGTGCTTTTTCCTTTTGATGTTTTCATTATATTTTGCCTTCTTTGTCTTCTCAGGCTGCCATTTGAAGTGCTTGCTCCATTTGCTTTGACTACTCTTCATTCAAGAGCAAGTTTGAAAGTGTCTTTGACATCCATTTTGTTCCATTCTAAAAGTTCTTTTCCTTTTTTAATCATCTTTTGCATTCTTGCTTTGTTCATCAGCATAGCATATTTAAAGTCTAAATTAGCAGTTTCTACAACTTAGCCTTCTTTGTAAGAGCGTTGTCAATCTATGAGGGTTCTACTTGAGTCTTTCTAATGTATGGTCCCAATTTATTAATACTTTAAAATTTGATGTCATTTCAGCATTTTTCAGAATTTCCCAGCCTTTATTTTGGGAAACAGAATCAGGAATTTTTAAGAAAAAGAATTCATGTGACTGCTCTATTAATGTTATTGAAGTTTTAGAAATTTTGATTTTTTAATTTCTATTTCTCTTTATTTTTTTTTAAATGACAATTGAAAAACCTTACTTAGGAAAGTAGCTTATTTATTTACACATGTATGTGTATTCATGCTAGAATTATAATTGGTTGTTAATTTTCATTACTGACCTTAGAGTGCATGTACTCATAAATAACACCTTGAGAGACTGTTCCATGATATTTTTCTTGATTTTGTTTTCCTAATATAAAGTGTGTTTCCTGCTGAGAAAATCTAAAGATTTAATATTCAAGCTTGACTTTAAAAAAAAAATCTTCATCATTAAAATAAAGTTAAAGAAGTGTTTTACTTTTTGCTGCCGTACTATGTATATTAAATCTTATATATATATATATTAATCTGGGGAAAGCTTCCTATCACTTTTTTTTTTTTGGTAAAGGGCCCAGTGTTGTTGCTGTTAGGTGCCATCGTGTTGGTGCCAACTCAGAGCGACTTTATGCACAGCAGAACAAAACACTGCCCGATCCTGGGCCAAGTTCACTACTGTTGCCATGCTTGAGTCCATCCATGCTGCCACTTAGCCAATTCATCACGTTGGGGGTCGTCCTCTCTTTTTCTGACCCTCCACCTTACCAAACATGATATCTTTCTCCAGCGACTGGTCCCTCCTGACAATATGGATGAAGTATGAGAAACGAAGTTTGGCCATCCTAGCCTCCAGGGAGCACTCTGGCTGCACTTCTTCAAACTTGGATTTGTTGGTTCTTTTGGCAGCCCATGGCACTTTTGATATTCTTCTCCAACACCGTAACTCAAATGCGTCAATTCTTTTATGGTCTTCCTTATTTACTGACCAGCATTCACATGCATATGAAGTTATTGAAAATACCATGGCTTGGGACAGGTGCACCTTAGTCCTCAAGCTGACATCTCTGCTCAACACTTTTAAAAGGTCTTGTGCAGCAGATTTGCCTAATGCAATACATCGTCTGATCTCTTGACTGCTGCTTCCATGAGTGTTGATAGTTTATCCAAGAAGAATGAAGTCCTTGACAATTTTGATCTTTTCTCCATTGATAATGTTGTTTATTGGTCCAGTGGTAAGGATTTTTGTTTTCTTTACATTGATATGTAGTCCATACTGAAGGCTGTGCTCTTTGATCTTGGTCAATAAATGTTTTAAGTCCTCTTCACTTTCAGCAAGCAAGGTTGTATCATCTGCATATTGCAGATTATTAATGAGTCTTCCTCCAATCCTGATGCCATGTTTT